GAAATTACAAACAACTAGGCATGTTTTTATATTAATGGTAATTAAATGAGATATAATCAAAATTATGGAGTAAGAATAAAACAAAAAAAGAAAAAGATTGCAGTTAATAAAAAAATAGCAAACTGTATATAGAAAAAATAAAGACAATATCAAATTTATTTACTATAAGAAAAATAAGAAAGACGATCATTTTTCAAAAGTGTCAATTATTAATAATAAAATTAAAATAAGTTTAAAACTTAACTTAAAAATAAATAAACTATAAATATATAAAATAAAATAATACAAAAAAGTAAAATAAATATAAAACTTAAAAAAAACTGTAAGATTAACTATTTTTTAATCCTCATTTTAATATCAAAATTTTCATAGTTTTATGTTGATATTTAACATTTTGAAGCAATTTGTTTTCCTTTACAGGTGTCACTTAATAGCTAACCAATTCATTATTTATTGACTTTTATGAAAAATATAATAATATTTTATCATAATTCCAAATAAAAACTTTTCAACTCAAGACAACTCTTAGTTATTTCATTTTTTGATATCAAAGTGATTGTTTTTTAGTGCTTAAAATATCAATAATTAGTTTAGAGAAAATTTGAGATAAATATTATGTGTAAATTTTTCCACAGTCAAAAGTAAGTCTTGTTGCTGCTTATATCAGTCTGTGTTTTGATTTACTGTATGTTTAAATTTTATTCATCAGTATCTACTCTAAATATTACAAACTTTGTAAGAAATGGCAAATGACAACATTAAAAACTGATTAAAAAGAGCATTTCAGATTTTTAAAAACTGGATTAAAATATGTTTTATCAGAATATATTTTAACCTGGCGTGAATGAGGTGAGAAATTGTTACACCAGCTATGAGGTGGGTAGGAGATACCCGAAACTTTGATGCCGAATTTTTTATACTATAATTGTGTATAAAGTATTTTTTCACTTGGGATAATAAGAATAGTATCTATTCAACAAGATGAGTAAATAAAATATTATGTTTAAGATTGAAAAGCATTTTTTTTTAATTGAAATAACAAAGTGTCTATATTTTCTTTGAAAAAGTACAAGTTTTGGTNTATATACCTATATATATATATATATATAACTGTATGTTGTAAATTAAAACATAATTTAATGAATCAAAAATTAACTTTAGATTATTTTTAATATAAATGTTAAAAATCCTATTAAGAAACGATTTTAAAATTTAATTTAATAATTTAATTTCAATTTTTTGATGAAACAGACACGATATGTGAAAGATAATTGCGTTTTCTTAGTGAAATTAACGTTTAAAAAAATTTTAATTTAATTGCATTTTCTCACTGAAATGAATTCAATAATGTTAAAATAATTAAATTTTCTTATTGAAATGAATAGAATTATGAGTAAAACTGATTTATTTATTTATTATTATTATTGCTGTTTTTTGTTTTGAATTTAATTGGCTTCAACCTTTAAGAATATTTAACTTAAATTTCTTTTATATAGTATTTAGCTTTAATTTCTGTTTAAATATATAAATTTTTAACTTAAGTTTGTTTATGTTTAAAAAATAATGCATTTTTTAATATAATTAACTTATTTTTCTTAAGTTTCTAGATGATGTTAACACATATCTGAGCCTATTTTCAGGTTTGTTTTTAATAGAAATACCACAGTAAGAAGCGTTATATATAAGTGATAACATCAAATATAAAGGGAGGGAAAAAAAAGGTGAGAGTAAAACAAAAACAATGGGTTTCCTTTCTCCTCAAGAGAAAGTTTACTTGTAAAAGAGAAATCGCTCCGTTTGCTATCTCAAGAAAACAGAAGAGGTGACGACGGAACCTTAAGTGGTGTAGATAGTAGTTTGTCATTATGGTCTTGTGAGAGTGAGACAAGTAAAGGATGCCAAACTTCACAGCTGCATGGACAAACCGATATTCTGTATCTCCCACTTACCTCCATCCTTGGAGTTACTGACGTGAATCATCCACTCACAACTTTGCTTCTGATATAAAAACACTTCTCCATTTTCCACTTTTACTCTCTTCTGGGACGAACTCACTATGGTAACGGAACGTTACGACCTGGTAACAAGGTTCTTTCGTTAATCAGGCAAGAAAACGTTGGAAATTATAAGAGATGCTTGGAAATTCAATTAGCGAAAGTTTTTTTCCCCTTATATTTTTAAATCTTGAGGATATTCTGGGATGAATGAAAATAATTACGCTTACAGGGGATTCTATCTTTGGGTAGTTTGTTCGACAATATGTCAATTTTTTTCTCTTCTACTTGCAAACATTCTTACAACTTATCGCTTCTTCCTTTAAATATTTTTTTAAATTTAAACTATTTTGAATATTTCTGTGTCTATACGACGTTTAACGCGTTTTTTTTTCTGATCAAAGGTTTTTAATCTGATATTTAATTTTGTAATTTAGATCAATAGTTTTTCAAAAATCTTCCACGTTAATCACTTAAAACGATAAATTCTTTTTCTGTTATCGTGTAGTTAATATATTTATTTGAATTTTAATTTTTTTAATAGAAAAAAATTAAAATCGAAATGAAGAAAAGGATATATTTGCGAAAATAAATAAATAAATAAATTTTTAAAATGATTAAAAATAATTAAACTTTTCTCTTCCTCCCTCTCTCTTTCTTCAATATTTTTTCATCCTCCTCATTTCAATTTGACAAGAAGAAGATTTCTTCATCTTCTCATCCTTCCTCACTTGATGAAAGAAAGTAAATTATCTTTAAAATAATTAAATAAATTTATTTACTCTCCATTATCAAACGAGGAAGATGAGAGAAAGATCTTTTCTTCATTAAATCTCACCTCGTCTTCGTCATTTCGATTTGGCAGAAAGACATCTCCATCTTCTCCTTCTTCTTCAATTGATGAAGCAAGTGTAATTTAGCTAATCTTCATTATTAAATTTCACATCTATAAGTTTCGAGTCACCTCCTGTCTTAACTTTACTACACAATTGAATAATTAATTTCGATTCTAGAGAAATTTATAGATAAAACATTAGCCATTTTTAAATTAAAAAGATCTCTCTCTCTCTTTTTTTTGTTTGATAAATTTGAAAATAAGTAATTAAACTGAAAGCTTTTAAAATGTCTAGAAAGAAAATACTGCGTGTGGCATCCGAAATGAAAAATGTCATTTTGGATTTTTCTATATATTTTCTTTTAAAAGAATTACTTACGTTGTCAATGGTTCTGGTTTATGGCAGCTGTTACAAAAGAACATTTACACTTGAGTAATAATTTCTTGTCTACTTCAAAAGATCTTTTATTAACCGTTTATCGAACCATTCTTTTATTGGTATAGCAGTTTTGGATGTTATAACTTCCAGAAAATATTTTACCACATAAAAGCAGTTAATGTTAATGTTTTCTTTATTATCTTTTCTTCTCTCCTATCATCTTTTGCCAATGATAAAATTATAAATAAAAAAAAATTCTTTAAAAATATTACAATTATTTTAAAGAGTACATCAGAGGAAAATTTACTTGAAAAAAATTCAAAAAGTAATTGCGTTTTTAGTATAAAAAATATATTGTTTCCTTTTGAAAGTTTTGAAGAGGAAATAAAATTTTAAAAAATATCTAAATTATGGAGAAATAAATTTTAAATAACTTACTGAATTTCTTTTATTAATATTTTTTTAAAATTTTGTTAGAAAATAAATATTTTTTAAGGTTAAAAAAAATCCCTAAAAATAAAATGAAATAAAAATAATACAAATTATTAAATTTGGTCGATTGTTATCGTTTTATTTCTATTTTTTTAACTATATATATTTTTTATTAAATCGAACTAATAAAGAAGAAAAATAGATTCTACACGAATATTTTTTACGGAAGAATTTCAATTGTTTTAGAAAATCTTTACAATTTTTTCTATAAATTTTAATTTAAAGTTTTAAATTTATAGATTTTTTTGTATACAAAAAAATACAAAAAAATCTGAAAACACATTCAAATAAACTATTTAAATTGGAGAAAAAAAATTAAATTTTATTACTAAAAAACTAATTCAAATCTATTATTATAAATAAAGATTTAATATTTAAATAATTAAAAATATTACTTTTTAAGTAAATAAATTCAGTTTACTACTAATCATTTAGGCAGACAATTGAGAATTAATAATTAAAGGAGATTTATCAATCATATATATATATAGAGTAATTAACTTATCTAGAATAAATCACAGTTGCTCTACAATACCGATTCACTTACTGAGAAACTAAATATTATTTTGTATCTTAATTTCAAATATATTATACACAAAATCAAAGATTTGTGTTCATTTTAACATAAATAATGCTTTTAATTACATATATTACATAGAAGAAAATATAGTAGATGTGTCTAATACTTTAATATGAGTTAAGTATAATGAAAATCAAAGGTTAATGTTCATTCTAACTTAAAATAATGTGTTTAGCTATGTATATTATATAGAAAAGCCTTATAAAGTGAAAACTATGTTTATATATCTCATCATATCACTATGCATACAGTTGAAGATGTGTTAATATGCATATTTAATATGCTCTATAGGTAAATCTGGTTAATAAAATATATTTTGAAAAAACAAGGTGATAAAGTTATTAAGATTGTAATGAAAAGCAAACATGGAATTAAAAACATGTTTGTAAGTTATGTTAATTCTATGGATATGTTGTGCTAACTGAATACATAATTATATTACAATAACATTATTNAAATTTATTTGAATTTTAATTTTTTTAATAGAAAAAAATTAAAATCGAAATGAAGAAAAGGATATATTTGCGAAAATAAATAAATAAATAAATTTTTAAAATGATTAAAAATAATTAAACTTTTCTCTTCCTCCCTCTCTCTTTCTTCAATATTTTTTCATCCTCCTCATTTCAATTTGACAAGAAGAAGATTTCTTCATCTTCTCATCCTTCCTCACTTGATGAAAGAAAGTAAATTATCTTTAAAATAATTAAATAAATTTATTTACTCTCCATTATCAAACGAGGAAGATGAGAGAAAGATCTTTTCTTCATTAAATCTCACCTCGTCTTCGTCATTTCGATTTGGCAGAAAGACATCTCCATCTTCTCCTTCTTCTTCAATTGATGAAGCAAGTGTAATTTAGCTAATCTTCATTATTAAATTTCACATCTATAAGTTTCGAGTCACCTCCTGTCTTAACTTTACTACACAATTGAATAATTAATTTCGATTCTAGAGAAATTTATAGATAAAACATTAGCCATTTTTAAATTAAAAAGATCTCTCTCTCTCTTTTTTTTGTTTGATAAATTTGAAAATAAGTAATTAAACTGAAAGCTTTTAAAATGTCTAGAAAGAAAATACTGCGTGTGGCATCCGAAATGAAAAATGTCATTTTGGATTTTTCTATATATTTTCTTTTAAAAGAATTACTTACGTTGTCAATGGTTCTGGTTTATGGCAGCTGTTACAAAAGAACATTTACACTTGAGTAATAATTTCTTGTCTACTTCAAAAGATCTTTTATTAACCGTTTATCGAACCATTCTTTTATTGGTATAGCAGTTTTGGATGTTATAACTTCCAGAAAATATTTTACCACATAAAAGCAGTTAATGTTAATGTTTTCTTTATTATCTTTTCTTCTCTCCTATCATCTTTTGCCAATGATAAAATTATAAATAAAAAAAAATTCTTTAAAAATATTACAATTATTTTAAAGAGTACATCAGAGATAGAAAAATGATAGAAAATATGTTTAGAAATTAAAATATGTTAGTTGGATTAATATGTAAGTTTGTGAACACCAATTGTAACAATATGTTATTTAGGTATTACCATATTAATTACGTCATGAACATGTTCATTGTCTCAGGATTGTGTGCATTTATACGTCAATTTGACGTCATTTTTACGCTTTTTCATTACAAACACGTAGAAATGACATCAAACTGACGTAAAAGACTACACTGCGCTGACAGCATGACAATTATTTAAGTGTTCTTCGTCTTCTCATTCTTCCTCGTTTGATGATATGTAAGTAAATTATTTTAAAAATAATTAAAAGAAATTTATTTATTCTCCATTATCAAATGAGGAAGATAGGAAAGATCTTTTCTTCATTAAATCGCTCTTCATCCTCCAATAATATATATATATATATATATATATATATATATATACACACACACACACATGCACACACACACACACATAGACAACAGCTTTTATATTATTAATGTAAGAATAAAGAGAAAAATATAATGTTTTAGTCTCTTTCAGTTTCAAAAATTAACAAATAATTTAAAATTCTCTCACATTTAGAAATTTAATTTGATTCTTTGAAAGATTTTTAACAACAATGATTTCTTTATAATTTATGAATTTTGAAGACTTTTGCTAAATAAAAACTTTTTAAATATAAAACTAATGAATTAGTTATGAGAAAAAAGTTAAAGATATGATTAAAATTAATTACTTTGTATAAGGATGCTAAATGATTTGAAGTTGCTATTAGAAATGGCTGATTGACTCCTGGATGATCAACATCATGAGTAACTGATGCAATCAGTGAAGCCATGGCTTCCAGAGGAGTCAGATGCTCAAGAATCTATGGAAGAAAGTTATAGTAAATTCAAGTGATTGATCAATTTTATAGTATTCCAACATAAACAACATACCTTTTGCTCTTGTAAAAAGCAGTGCATAGCTTGAGTAACATCAGCTGCATGCACAGAGTTATGATAAGGATTGTTGCTATGATAATTTTCTTCTATTAAAGCTACAAATAGAAATGTAACATTTTGAATTTACTATTTGAAAAATTATTCATATATTAAGTTTTTAATGATAATATTCAATGTAATATTATTTTTAAGTTAAAAGAATATTTGATACTTTTATTTGTCAAAACAATTATGATATAGAAATCAAAACCATTTCTCTATGTATGCTTAAATATAATGCAGAAGTAAGTTATGTTACAAGTACAGATATCAGTAGAGTATCCTGTTACACTGAAATATTTCACTCTTTGTTTCCTTTCTTTTAAATTTAAAATTACATAAAATTACAAAATCACTTAGTCAACACCAGAGTGTAGTAAATTAACAATATCTTCAAACCTGTTACCGGTGTGTTCTCCCACGACGACTCACGATGAAAAAATATACAGTTCGTTATTGACGTTTTTGAACCGAACAGGTTTTTCTTCAGGTAACATTGAATTCCTGATGGAATGCAGATCAAAGAAAATAAATTTGAAACTCAAACATGCACTTCTCGATTAAGTCTTCTTGGGGGCATGTGCTCTCCAGTGCTTGATGGTAATCATAGATTTTTGTCCATAAGCACCTGCCACGATACTGATAAATTTACCTCTTCCTTGTGATTGATGCAGTTATTACTGCTAAGGCTAGCTATGTATATGCATGCAGCCTCAAACCACCTCAACCATCAAGCACTGAAGAGCGCATGCCCAAGAAGACTTAATTGAGAAGCGCATGTTCAAGTTTCAAATTTATTTTCTTTGATCTGCATTCCATCAGGAATTCAATGTTACCTGAAGAAGAACCTGCTCGGTTTGAAAACGTTACTAACAAACTGTATACTTTTTCGTCATGAGTTGTCATGGGAGAACACACCGGTAAGGTAACACATTTGAAAATATTGTTAATTTACATAAAATTAATAATGAATTTTATATTTGACACACAGCTAGATGTGTTTTTACAGAAATTACAAACAACTAGGCATGTTTTTATATTAATGGTAATTAAATGAGATATAATCAAAATTATGGAGTAAGAATAAAACAAAAAAAGAAAAAGATTGCAGTTAATAAAAAAATAGCAAACTGTATATAGAAAAAATAAAGACAATATCAAATTTATTTACTATAAGAAAAATAAGAAAGACGATCATTTTTCAAAAGTGTCAATTATTAATAATAAAATTAAAATAAGTTTAAAACTTAACTTAAAAATAAATAAACTATAAATATATAAAATAAAATAATACAAAAAAGTAAAATAAATNAAAAAATAATAATAATAATAATTAAAAAGATATTTTTAATATATAAAATGAATGAAATTACAAATGATATAAACAAATTAAAATTAATATTTAGAAGCATTCGAATATAAAATTTATTCTTCGTATTTTTATTTACATCAATTAAGATTTCAGTTAACTTAATTATAAAAAACTTAATTAACTTATTAAAACTTCATAATGTATTCATAAAAGAAAATTATCTCGGTATAATTATCATTATCAGGCATCAATTTTTAAAGCTAAACACAATGGAATAAATCATTTTACTTATCGAAAAGTGTTGAAGAAAATTCTTTGCTTACATCTACATCTTTTGTGTTTAATTTATGAGTTACATACAAGGCTCTTCATAGGCCTCCTAAATGTGATTTGCTTAATTAAACAGTGCGCTGTTATCATAAATAACATCATCGAACAGTAAACTGAATCGTGGGTCAGGAATAATTAATCTTCTTTAATTAAAGAACATACTTAATGATTGTCACATATGAACCTTCTTCAGTTCTTATAAAAGTTACTGATCGTCGATTAATCTTGTTTCATTAGTGAAGCCCAGTTAATGTGTCAGCAGTACAGGTGACAATGTTGTGATTGCTCTAAGACCACTTTGCTACATCAGCTGCCGATAAGAAGTTCTTAAGACACTCAATAATTGTTATCTGTTATTAGAAAAAAATATATATATCTTATCTTTTTGGATCCTGTACTAAACGATTGTTAGAAAATCCCTCTTTGATCTTATCGATATATTTCTCAATGAAAATCGTTAAGTATTAATTGCTGTTTTAACATCTGTACAACATTTATTTTATTCGCCAAATATAGAAATATAATCTATAGAACTTGGATTATACGTAAGATACAGGCCTATATATATAGAACCATTACAAATAATAATAAATTCGAAACTTAGTTAAGATTTTCACTTATAGCTACATTCAGTACTTAATTAATTATAATTGAAAATCTTAAGTGTTAATTGCTGTTTAATATAGATATAAAATATGGACACTCGATATGATGAATTCTCAAAGAACAGGGCTAAATCGTAAGTTGACTACATGCATAAAGAATAGTAAGAATCGACATCGTTCACTATAACGGGATGAACACTATATCAAGTCTATTTTATAAAATTTGGATAATACGTAAGAGATAGTGTGTATGAAATATAAATAAAAAGTTTACTTTGATCTTACGGAGATTATTTTAATGAAAATCTTAATTGTTTTACATCTGTGTAAAGGTATACTGTATTTTATTACACAGAATAATAAATGTAGAACGTTAACCTTTTGTATTTTCTAAAACTTGGATTCTGTGTAAGAGATAATCAACGACTAGAAATTTAATTGAAAAGTAGTATTTAAAAAAGTAAGAGATTTCTCCAAAACAAATTAAAATTTTGTGCTTTGAAAGTAAATGAATTCTCAAGGTAGTAGGATGTATAGAATAAATAAAGAGGATAAAGAAAAATAAAGCAGATGATTACAAGGATCAGATGATGTTCATAATCAAAGAGAATGAAAATATCATTTTCGTAAAAAATACGTATGTAGATCATTGTAAAATCCTCTTTAATCTTAGTTAAAAGTGGTGCAAAATTTTTAAAAGAGGAAGAAGTATATTTAAAACACATGCACACACATACACGCGCGCACACTAATTGGAAAACTTACAATTTTCACTTGTCGACGGGAGATTTCTAACAAGCTTGATAAGTCAAGCCTTTATTTGTAAAAACGTCCATCTGATGCATGCCATGCACTCCACTAACTACATCCTTCCTAACGTATGTCATTAGCTAAGGGCTTTGTGGTCTCGTACCGGGGATTGAATCGCACATCGACTATCATCTGCCTGCAGACGGTACTTTCTAACGACCTACAAGAACTATCCTTAATGACTAATGAGGAAATATTTTCGGCTTTTGTATTAGCCTATACCTGAATACAATACTCGGTTTTTTAAAAATTAAAAATTATGTCATCTGTTCTTGTCATCTTCCACTTTTACTTATTGTAGTTAAATTGATTCTTACTGCATTAATTGTTTACGTGTTGTGATTTCTTTTACTACAATTTTAAGAAAAATATTTCTGAATAAAGATTTTATATATGGGATGGTCCAAAAGTCAGTTAACAGACAAACATTTTATTTTATTTTTTCTTTGAGGGTTGTTTTCAAGAAAGATTAAAATCAATTTGGAACGGTTATAAATCGATTTATTACTCTTAAAATAAGCTAAATACAGTCGAACCTCCAATAAAGACCACCTGAAAACAACGAACATTTTTTTAAACAAAAAATGCATATAAAACAATAGCCGTTTTTATATTCTTATCAGGTAACTTTGTTCAGAGATTTGACTGTAACTACACACATATATAGATAAGTTAACTGACTTATGGACCACTCTACATATGNAAACTGTAAATGTCATGCCAATTTTTAATTTATTTTCAGATACTTTAATTGAAAATGGTAACAGTGGGAGAAAAATTAACTGTTATAGTTCACAAAATTGAAACTCGTAACAGCTCAAGATGCTGCAAAACTTTAAGAATTGAGCTTTTTGCTATTATATGCTATTTACTTGTTTTTACCTCATACATTCAAAGTTATCTTAAGTTGCACAAGGAATATTTATAATCACTTTATATTAATTGTGAATATTTAATTATATATATATATATATTAATTCATATAATCTTCAAAATGATAATACTGTTGAAGCTTTTAGAACTGGACATCAATGGCAATTCTTTTTGAAAAATTACACTGCACAAAGCAAAGATTATATCTCATAAAAACTGTAGAGAGAGTGAATGTTCTATAAGTTAAAAAATTCATTCATTATTTGTTCATTAATTAATATAATGATAAATATGCAAATATATATATATATATATTTTTTTTTTTTATTCATTAGTTTTTGCTTGTAACAAGTAATTTGTGAAATACAATTTTTCAAGATAATTATATAATGTTCACATGTAGCAAATTACAAAATTTAAAAATTTTTGAAATTAATTACTCAGAACTAATAACCAAGTAAAAACGATTTACACCAAGCATTCATTAATTGTTGTTTTTTTATAATATATTGCTAAATATTCAATTGGTGTGTTCTAAAAAAATTACACTTATTAATTACATTTAATGTTACTTTTTGAATCAAACTGAATCTAAATGCAGAATATAATCATCTTTTTATTAAAGTAATTAAACTTCTTCACAAATTTTAGATGCAAATTAAATTATATATTTGTGTTTTTTAATTTCTAAAATATTTTAATAGCTTAGAATGTCTCCACCATTAATAGCTTATGACTTGTATACAATTTAATAGTAATAATTACCAATTGAGGCATTCTGTGCAATTGAAAACACTTTAGAAATTAAAAAAAGTTTGAATTTTTGTAATTTAAATGTGAAATTGTCCATGTAAACACAAAAAATAATAATAGAGAGGTTGAGGCGCACGTTTTAAACGTGTAAACATGTACGTGTGACGTTCGGCGCCGCTTTCCCGTAATCCTAAAAGTTTGACGATGGTGTTTGAAATGTTGAGCGTGATTCCACCGACTATCCAAACACCATTGTCAAACTTTTAGGCTTACGGGAAAGCGGCGCCGAACGTCACACGTACACGTTTACACGTTTAAAACGTGCGCCTCAACCTCTCTAATAATTCATTAGCCATTTGGAAGTGCTTCGATCCTTTAGAAATCTTACAATTTATAGATTTTGTATTGAAAGAAAAACACACATGATACCAATAAATGTTTTTATTTGGTGTTACATGATAAATAGTGCTCAGTGATAAATGCATTATCATACATGATTAAATGATACATAAAACATGATTTTAAAAACATGTCTAAATTGCTATGAATCTACACAGTGGAGACATTGATTCTCCCTGCTTTCCCGCATCTATCATTTGCATGTGACCAGTCAAAACATCCCCAAAACCAAACACATCAAATGAATATATTACAGATTTAATCTAATTTTTAAATTCAAACATTTCTACCAAAACTATATATAATTATATAAATAGTTTGGAGAGAAGAAATATGATCAGAACCTTATTTACTTTATTAACAACGTTAATAAATAAACTTTACTTTCGATACTGTACACGAAATAAGGAATAAAGAAAGTTTCTTCAAAGCAAAGCAGAAAAAAAATTACATGATACATGAAACTATTCATCCCAAGCAAATACCAGACGTAATATTTTGTGTAAATATGTAAACATATAATAGAAATAGGGTGAATCTTTCATAAATATTCTAGAACGAAAGAGGAAAAAAAGTTGGAGCAAAACTTTGCTAGCTGCATTTTTTGAATTTGCACAAACTCTGATGGATGTTTGGGCTGTGTAGTACATGTTAGTGGCTTATCTCTAGATATATTTACAGGTCCTTGTAAATGCCACGGGGGGAGCAATGTCGTATTCATCTTCTGTTCGTGTTTGTTCGATCTATCACAATGACTGCCACAGTTAAGGTTGCCACTCTGCCATTTCCTTCGCATCTCTATTTACTCCATGAAAATTTCAAGTAGAAAATCTTATATATTTTTCACCAAATATATATGATAAAATTNATATATGTATATATATGTATGTATTATATTTTATGTTCATATATATATAATATATATATATATTGTATATATATACCAAAAACATGTATATTTATGTATTTTTGACATGGTCCTATGCACACACAAACACAGATGAATCGGAGGTAGTGTGCAAAGTACAAAAACTATAAATTGTTCTATGAAACAATGGAAAACAGACATGCAGCATTGTCAATGAGTTCTTGATAGTGGATCCAGATGCAATCTACAAATAATTTTTCTTGAAACTAGGCCATTTTTCTCGGAATGCAGTGGTCTGAATTAAACATTAATCCAAAACTTATAATTTCTAATTATATATATACATATATGTTTTTTAAATAATTACTACAAAAAGCATTTATGAGAAATGATATTTCTAAAATATCTATTTGAGTACTTTACACAGATTTTCTTATAAGATTAAATTGATATATTCTTTTTTTGTTTTTTTTTTTGGATTTGTAATTATGGAGGAAAACACATAAAAAATGTATATATGATGTGTGATAAAATGGTGAATTTGTTGATATACAATATAATTCTCAAACCTTTGCTGAAAACAAGTAAATCTACAATAGTTCTTTTAGAGTTAAAATGAAAATACCATTTCTTTACATGAAAATTTATCCTTTTTTAATTTTTTTTTAATAACTTTTTCTGAATTATTATTTCATAATAATGATTGGCTCTTGCTAGCAATTACTTTGTTCAAAATCATTTTGTACAATCAGTTCATTTTCTACATGAGAAAAAAAGTTTATACAGGATGGATTATCTGTATTGCTGTCCTTGTTTTCATTCTGTACATTATAGTTCTTAACAGTCTCTTGCGAATTTTTACAGTTGTCAATGGTGAGCTTCTCACTGTGGACACTTTCTACGAGATTGTTACATAATTCAATAATATCACTATTTAAATCACTGATATTAGAACGTGTTGATACACTACTCTCATCCTCTTTGGATTTCTTTTCTGAGTATTCGTCTACGTAGTCAGCACTCTTAGAGACAACTTCAGTTTGTGAAGTACACTCTTTGCTTTTTGTGTTATCAGTATGATGTGTACATTTTGATGTAGGACAACTTTTGCATTTTGTTGATATTTCTTTGTTGGATATAAATGAATGTGAAAAAGTGTCTAAATTTTGTTGTATTATTTTGCAATCACTTTCTATGCTCTGAAAATCACTCAGATTTTTTCCACATGGATTCACTCCTTGACTTTTTGTGCTGCAAATGTCTGTTGTAATAGTTTTTTCAACATTTTCTATCATGATATAAGGCAAATTTTTGTGAATATCGGAAATGTTACTGTCTTTTGCATCAACCACCTCTCTTTTTTCTAACAATTTTTTATGATGATTCAGTTTACTACTTTTAATATTTCCATCCTTTGGTTTTTGTTTTTGATCACTTTTAAAACTGTGCTTTTTGTTACTACTGCATTTATCTTTTTTTCCTTTATCAATTAAATTATCTTTTTTCTTATCAAATTCTACATGTTTTTCAGACGGTATCTTGGATTTTCTCTCACAAGTTTTATTTCCCAATTTTTTATCGGATTTCATATGACAATCTGTGCATTCTTTTGAACTGATCTGTTTCGAGGTTTCTGTCTTTTCTTTATGTTTAATCTTCTCTGTTACTTCACTTTTGTCAGAATCACTAGCTGATTTGTGAACAGATTTTATAATCACATTTGAATCAGACTTAGTTTTCTTCTTTCCATCAATATTTGATAATTTTTTCTCAGAAGATTTTGGTTTGCATTTTATTTCACTTACTTTATCACTATTTTCTTGAATGATTTTATTACATTTCTTCACATCTTTTGAAACCATCGAAGTTTTGGATAATTTTACTTCATTTTTTCTCTTATGCTTAACAGACAAATTCTTTCTCTCATAATGCACTTTGTCATCTTTCCTTTTTTTCACAGGTGGGCACTTACTGCATATTGATTTGTCAGCATTTCTTTTGTTAGGAATTAGATTTTCATTTAATATCCTATTATTGTTGCAATTTTTAACTAAATGCTCCGAAGTATTATTATTATCTTCCGATTTAACTTCCACAGAATCTGAACACTTTGTTTCATTATAAACCTCCAAATACTGCTTTAATCTAACATGCCATGCTATGCTGGTTACTGCAGTGACAGTTCGAAACTGATGAATGATGTTGCGTGGAAGAAAATAAATGTCATTATCACAAAGTTGAATGCGAGCATACCGAATTCCATCTCTGTGCAACTGATTTAACTTTGCATCCTCTACCCACTGAACACACTGAAAGAAAAAACATAAAAATATTAGAATAACTTAAAATTGATTTACTTATATGTGTAAATTGCTTGTTCAAAGAGAACAAAAGATTAATACTAATACATAAAACAATTTGCATATTAAAATCTAATGAAATATTATAAAAATCACTGTTCAGTATGAAAGTAAAAAGCCAAGTTTAAAAATGATCATGTCTTTTTTCCCAATAAATACTTTCTATTTTATATATAGTAAAATAAAGCTGAGATCAACTGTATCTTAATATATGTAAGATAGATATTCAGATTCAAAAGTATTTAAAATAATTTCACTTATTTAAACAATATAAGCACGTTCTTTGTTCCATTTCACACTCTTCTCTTCACATTTCCAGAATTAAATTGTGTAAATTTGACTCCACCAAGTGTATTCTCTGTGAAAGGAATGATTAATAGATGAGCTGATGTATGTAAAATCTACAAACAATATAGGAAAAGTTTACATTTTTGTAGTGTTCTGTAACAGTAAGAGTCCATAAAAAAAAGAATACTTTTTAATGAAACAAATTTATTTCAAGAATTATCCCCATATAACAATTCTTAATGATTCTAACAAAAAAAAAATTCCCAACAGTTCTTCAAACAAAAAATTTTTTTTGTTTGAAATTTTTTTGTAGACAGTACACCAACCAATACCAGTAGCATTCAAGTTTTGTATACATAAAAATTATTTTGAAATTTATCGCTGTTAATAAGGTATGTCAAGTATATGAATGTCTAACCAATCATTAGACACTGCAACTTTGCAAAACAAACATTAAAAAAAAAACCATTTCAATAAAAAAGATTTATATTTTTAATATAAAAAATAGTAATAAGTAAAAGATAAACATTAAAACATTTGTTAAAGTTTATTGCAAAAACTGTCTTTGCAATTATATATCTCTTTGGTTCAATCAATCCCTTGAGAGAGAAACAAACAGTACTCCACTGTATATTTTTAACAAATCCTTCTTCAATAGATGTTTACTTATATAAAGTAAAATATTTACTTTAAGATATTTATCTTTCATTATGTCATAATATAGACAACTTTATATAAAAATTTAATTCAATTCATGCAAATATTTCAAAATTTAGAATCCTCTTTTAATTTTTAAAAAGTAGTACAGGTATACCTTGCCTTATGTCGGTAATTGGTTCCAGGAGAGGCAACTTAAGTCAAAAAACAACATAAGTCGAATTTACTTGTCACTAGGCTAAACCACAAATACCATTCCCAGTTCTGTATTTTATTTATAAATACGAAGGCAGGCTGAAAAGAACACGAACAAAAACAAATAGCAAGATCGGGCAAAAAGTACATTAAGTACAATTCTTAAGCTTCAAAATCATATATTTATTTTTCAACATAGCNTACCATTCCCAGTTCTGTATTTTATTTATAAATACGAAGGCAGGCTGAAAAGAACACGAACAAAAACAAATAGCAAGATCGGGCAAAAAGTACATTAAGTACAATTCTTAAGCTTCAAAATCATATATTTATTTTTCAACATAGCCTTAATGATGACTAAGTGTTAATTTATATGCTTTCCAGTATTCACGTAAGAAGATATTAAATTTAAATTGTATGAACATTGCAGGTTTGCAGATAAAGTTTTTAAATGTAACTGCATAAAATACATGTGATGTTCATTTATTTAAATAATTGTTTTGAACTGATGTACTGAATAACATGTAGTAAACAATCTTCTATATTTGAAACCAAATGACAGTTAATTAAGTTAGCTAAAGTAGTCATTCATAAACAAAGTATATGCCGAAAATTAAAAGTTTGATTTTCTCAGATTTTCTGAATTGTCCAATAATTTGAACAAAATTATTGGACAATTTGGAGAAAATGTATTAAATGACAATGGAAGAAGACTAATAGACTTTTGTAATACAAATTACTTTAAAGTCAATAATGGGTTTTTTTAAACATAAAGATATTCATATTTGAACCCAACATATTAGGCAGTGGTTAAAAAATTGGTTAAATCAATTACAGTTGACCCCCCTATAAGATATAGATACGTTCCAATTTATTAGGAATCCGATTTCTTACAAGTCGTTCCAATCACAGCCCAACACGTGTCAAGTTTATGGACTACGGCTGATTGAAAGGTTTTCTTCCATAAAATTAATCGATTCTACACTAATCCGACTCAACATTTCCAAAATATGTATATTTTTTCGTAGTTTTATAGGAATCATAATTATAGGAACCGTAATCATAGGGGGGTGGACTGTATTGATTATGAAAGAACCCAACTTAAAATTTTAGATGTAAGAACACAGAGAGGTGTTACCTGTGGTTCATACCATTATATAGTAAGAGCAAAAATCATTACTCCTTACAAAAGAGTAATACAGACACAGAAAGAAGAAAAAACGGAAATGGAAATAATCAAAGATCTTAAATTTAATCTTGAAAGCTTAGCAGAAGAAAATAGAGAAGACTGTAGAGAAGATTAGATCAAAAATTGAAAGAAAAAGAATATGATAACACTATAAAATTATATAAAAATATAAAAACAGCACTACATGAAGCAGCAAATTAAGCTCTAGAACAAATCAAAGAACATGGAAAACTTTAAAATTCTAGTGGGACAAAGAGGTAGAAAACACAATACAACAAAAAGAAGTAACTTGCTTAAAATGGATGAACACTAAAAATAAGAGAATAGAATAAGATATAAAGAACTTAAAAAATCAACAAAAAAATTAATTCTGAAAAAGAAAAGATTGGGTTGGGATAGAAATTGTAGAGAAATAGAAACATATATAAAAGGAAGAAAATGCACATTCAGCACATTTTCTTCCTTCTATATATGTTTCTATTTCTATACAATTTCTCCTATATATTTCTATATTCTATATATATGTCATGGAAATTCCTAAAAAATGTTAAAAATGAAAGAAATAGTAATAAAGGACAGTTTATCTCAGTTAAACAATGGGAAGAATATTATAAAAATTTATTAACAAAAGATATAAACATAGAAAAGGATGTACCAATTCATTTAGAGACAAAACAGATTAAACAAGCATGTAAGAAACTGAAGAATAATAGAGCAAATAGTCCCAGAGGAATACTGGCAGAACTGATAAAAACCGAAACAGAAAAATTATTTAGAATGACAACAAAATTATTCAAAAGGTGTCTTAATGGAAAAGACATTCCAAAAGAATGGAAAATTGGCTTCTTGACATCTATCTATAAAAAAGGAGACAAACAAAAATGTGAAAATGAATGAGGAAGAGAAGAGAAAAGTAACTACAGTTGAAATGGATGCATTGAGAAGATTGTGCAGAATCTCAAAAAGAGAAAGAATAACTAATGAGAGGATTAAAGACCTAATGGGATTGAAGGAGACAGTTTTGGAAGAAATACAGAGGAAACAACTTATTTGGTTTGGACATGTGAAAAGAACAAGTGATGAAAAACTCCTGAAAATGTCAATGAAATACAATCCACAAAAAAATGATAAAGAGAGGAAGATCCAGGCAAACTTGGTAGGACGAAGTGAAAATAGTATTTAGTGAAAACAGGATTAAAGAGGAATGGTGTGTGGATAGAAAGAGATGGAGAGGGTTCCTGGGAGGGTGAAAGGCAACGTCAAATGCCATAAACCAAACACAGATAGATTTTCTCAGATTAATTTCATCCAGTTGCCGTTTATATTAATTTTCAGCCAAACATGTTTAAAAATAAACACCAATTATTTAATTATGTGGCAAAAACACTTAGCTGAAATAATAATTTTAATCAATAATCACTAAAGCTTATTGTCTAGGCTAAGCCCAGGCGTCTGGGTAACTTTTGCACTTTCCTGTCTGATTTTTTTTAAAAAAATTCCCACGTTAGATTTTGATGATTTTGGTGTTAAAATACTCAGTAGAACCTTGTCTTGTGTATAAATTACTTTTTGGAAAATATAATTAACACTGAGAAAAGATATATTCAAAAAAACAAAAAAGTATTTTAACATTTTTGGGTGATGTTTTTTGGAATATAAAGCCAAACAGTTGCTTTATATTTTTGCAGAGTTTGGTGAATTTTGGTTGAACTGTGGAAAAGTTATCAAAGTTAAAAAAAAAAACAGATTTATGTACCTAATCCCCACTAGATGGCACCACATTACCTAGCTCTGATCAAGGTCTGTATAAGAAGGTCAGGACACGCATGACCTACTTATTGAGCCGCCATTTTGGGGTATTTTGAGTCGCATGTTTTAAGCAAACTTGTACGAGCGGTCTGTTTTATACGACATTAATTAAACAAAAATTGCATAAATCCAGTGATTTTCAGTCGAAAATATAATAATAATTTAGAATGATTACGCAACCCCAATTTTATGTAACTTTTCGATCAAATAGTTTAAAAGAAACAATCATCTATATCATTTTCTGTCGCGATTGAAACTAATTAAATAGGTGCTAAAACTGATGCAATTACGTATATAGACACTTCGTAAAGTGATGCAATAACATCAAAAAAAATTTAAAGTATAATAAAGAATATAATAATATAACAAATTTATAATTATTTTTTAAAAGCACGATTGGCTATAAAATTAAGATAAAATTCAATAGTATTATTAATAAATGTTGTCAATGTAATACTCATTTTATAATAAGTAATAGATGTGTAGATATATTTTTAATTTATAAATAGCTTTCAAAAAATTCCAAATATAAAATTTTAAATTAAATTATTTGACAATAAACTGACAAATAATACTTGAATAGAATACAATATATTCAAACAAAATATGAATATTTGTTGCCATAGCAAAATAATGCTAAAATTTTCTTTTTTACAATTAAATAGTCAATTTTACTTTAATTAAATAAAATCTGTTTTTAAATGTTCAGGATAAAAGATTTGAATGATCAGTGGAAAATAATTATTGAAACGCGAACGAAAAAATTAAATATAAATAAAATCAATTAAATATTATGGAATCTCTAGATTAT